AACCCCGGACAAGCGGAAGATGATGGATGGATGGATGGTGTCTCAGGATGTTCTGCAGGTAATTGCAGTTATAATGTTACAGTACACAAGCAAACATGTACAACATTGCTGAGCTTATTACATACAATTATCACTTAGTTACACAACAGGCATTTGGAAAGCATGAAAAGATGGCTATGTTGTGGTTTCCTTCATTACCAGGGCCTATATTTATCACAAGAGGGGTATTCCATGGAAGTAACTAAAGAAAGTCAGACTCAAACTAGCACCATCTCTTAACTTAGCCTCATGTTGTTCGACTAATGCAGTTCAGCTGTAACTAATCAAGGCTCATAAAAGACAGACTTGCGTAGTCTCACTTAGTGCGCACAGACAAAATATTTAAGAAGCCAAAATGAATGGATGAACGATAGTTCGATCAAATGAGTCAGAAAGCGTGTGAAACAAGGGCGATGTTGATGGAGCTGTATGAAAAATACAAAGATAAGTTAAAGATAAGTAATCGCTAAAAATGGAATACTGTGGCCATAAATAAAGCCAGGGACTTGGCTTGGCAAAGAATTTTAGACAGACTAAACGCGTAAATTATGTAAATGTTACAAGTGCCTGGTACAGTGGTTCATGCTGTCATCTCACACCGATAAAGTTCCTGGTTCAATCCCCATAGCTAATGGGGAACCTTCTGGGGTGAGTTCACATGTCATTGTTACTGTCTAATGTTCTTCTTTATCTTTGATCGGCATAAAATAATTTCATTCGCATCTGTGTGAAATGTTCTGCACAAATAACCATATCTTGTCTTTGTTTTTTCCTAATAAAACAGTCAGTAGACTGTTAAACAAAATCTAAAAATATCTTCCACTTTATATTATTTTATAATACTGTTTATAAATATTATTTTTTTCAGTTTTTCATTGCATTTCATGTTTGACCTTTGTCATATGGGTTGGAAAAAGTAAGGGTTAGGGTTAGCAAATTAGCGTTAGGGTTTGAAAAACTATGCTATTTATAGGCATCAACATGTGTTTTTATGACAGGTCTGCTCCCCCGTAGGATAGGAAACCACAGTTTAGCATGCTTTAGTAGCATTTTATCTACTTTACTAAAACCTGTTAGGGGCACCAAGCCTGGGTTCCTGTCCCAGGAGCCACCGATACCTACCTCCAGGGACCAGCAGTGTTTCCCTGGAATGGTACTCAGGGGAAGGTGCATCCAAGCCCGGGTAGGAGACCCAGGACCCACCGGTACCTCTAACCATAACCCTATCGCTAACCCTAAGTCAAAGTCGAACCATGGGTTCTCCGGGGGACCATTGGTGGTTCGTTGGAATGGTAGCCGGGGCATGGTGCATCCAAGCCCGGGTTGGAGTCCCAGGACTCACCGGTAGCTCTAACCCTAATTTGGGGCCTTCGGGCGGAACAACAGGGTGTTGTAAACTAGGAAATATGCTACTAAAGCATGCTAAACCATGG